GAGACCATGTGTAGATCTGTCACACATCTGCTACTCATTAATGAGTCTATGATCATGACAGTATATCAGAACAAAACAACGGAGGAGCTGAGTGACAGAAGATAGTAAACAGAAGCATTCTATGGGCACAACTGCCTGAAAAAACCCAAGAGCTAATCAGTCGATCATATACACTACTCCAGTCGACTTGGTGGGGTACCTACCAAATTTAGCGAAGCTAGTTCAGTTCACCTTGTGAAGACCTGTAAAGTCCTGTAACAAAGCGGCTCACTTATACCATTTCGTAGCTCTACAGCAGTTTAGCGGGTTTAGCCAAAATTTAACGTGGTCATTAGCATGAACTAGCAAAGGAAAGTAGCTAAAGTGCAAAGTGCCCCTCCCATGGGCGCTTTATCAAAATTTCGACGCAGTATACGCTCCTCGGCCGCGAGAAAATGACTGTAAAATGTTATAAAATGAGGAAGCGCTAAAACAGATAACAATTAAAGAAGTGGAAAATTTATTTCCTGGGTGTTCAGGAGTGTGCACTGAACGGCTCTTTTTTTTGACGACTCCTTCCGTTGTAAGTAGGCATTTGCTATTAGTGGAAGGGAATAAAAACTTTTCCAAAAGGTAAACAATTAGAAAAGAATAAAAAAATGTATTCAAGGTCCTAAGACAGAATAGAATTGGTCCGCCCTTTCCGGGGCGCCGGTTGTTATTATATTTTGCCAACCCATGGGCTCGTCAGCGAGATGAAGTTGACGAAATAAGACCGCAGGGCTCGTCCTGCCGAAAATTTTGCAAAATACGCTCCCCCCTCTCAGAGTTTCTCTTTAACACGTCCCCAGGAATATGCCGCCTTTCACTCTTCTTTCTCACCTATAGTGGCCAGCCATTTCCCGTGCTCTCCTATTCCTACCAATTTTCGCGGAGTTTCTTGCCTGGAGTACCTTCAGTTTTGCAAGAAGAACGTTTGCCGAGGAGGTTGTGGGGGGAGGGGCTGATCAAAGAGTGATGTAGCCTGGGTCAACATTCCTTCACCAAGAGAACTGCGACCCCGCTCCAATACGACCGTGCTCCTATAGCGAATCCACAACGCAGGAAGGGTCCTGACTTTTGAATCACGTTTAGGTAAGGGCAAGGAGGTCTTGCACCTAGCATGCGCTGGTCGACTGTTCATGGCAGTGGAGTCATCGCAGCCACGAGGACGTGACTCGTTCTGCTTGCTTTCAAAGGCATCCCTTACGCTGTAAAGTTGAGAAAACTCGTATTCGCGAGCAGAATATATTTTGTTTAATCAGTAAAGTAGCTCAAAAGTGACTTGATTTGTAAAGAAAGAAGATTTATTTATGACGAGATATACTAATAATGGGGCTTGGCGCTAATCACTTTGGGGGCACACGTGGTAAACGCGCTTGTCACCATACTTGTTGCAATCCTGTAAATTGTGCACATGTGGACACCGGATAACCTTGTCAACACCCTGTAAGTCTTGTTATTACCTGTCAGGAACCCTGTGAACCCTTGTCGAAATCGTCAAAATGACTCGTCAAGAAGTGGGAAAAGAATTTAATGGATGGCGTTCATATGATGCTACCATTTCGCCAAACTTGACAGGGGTTTGCAGGATTCTTAACAGGAATTTACAGGATTTCACAGGACATAATTTTACAACTTACACGACATTACAGAACTCACATTGAACGATTGCGAAAAGAAAAGGAAGAAAAGAGAAGGAAAAATAAATAGACACATCAGAAAAGCTCACAGTTGTGCCCCCTTCCATAGAGATTGTCAACGCCACTGCCCGCAAAGGGCTACGGAAAACATTTTCAGGAGAACTTCTGAGCTACAAGGTAGTATCTGAAAGAGCCTGAGGCTCACGATAGTTATGCAGTAATGTTGATGGTGGTGTTCGAGAATGGCATAAGGTGAATGTAAAATACTGGGCTGATGACCCCGAGAAGCGCAAAGCGCAGCTGTCGTTAGTTTAACACCACGATATGTAAGAACCTCCTTCGGTCTCGTAGTAGTGAGAGTGCGACGAGACTGATGACGCACGATAGGGGGAATCGTTACGTTACACGTGCTGAATTAGAGCGATTCATCACGATTGTAAATAGCACCTCATCAGGATTACTCGTTTGCGTACTCAGCATCTCTTGAGGAAATCTTTGAAACCTGCTGATATGGTGAACGCTCTGTGAAAGGAAGACCTTTCGCCGTGAAAAGTGCAAAAAGCGTCGGAAAGGTCGCGCACTTAAAGACACATTCCACGATTAAACGTCACGGAGAGCAGTCCAAGCATGAATCTCTGGACCAGAGCACGTCCTGCCGCTGGGCAAAATCTTCGTTGAAT